AATGGCCGGGAAGGTCACAGAGGAGAGTCCTTCGTTCTCACAACGTTTCAGTACTTTTTTTGCAGTTTTTACTAATGCCTTGAACTGTGTGGTCGGTTTGAACGTGGATGATCTTTCTACAGCCCAGCAGACCGGCTCCTGTGCAGCACAAGTGGTCTGCAGTTTTGCTCACTGAGAAAAAACAAAGTGATATTACCTTTATCAATACAAATATTGTTCCAAACGTAGGGAGGTTTGACGGGTGTCTCACCGTGTATGAACTCTGCTTTTACATTGGGTCCTGCTGCTGTCAGAATAGCTTTGGAAATACCTATAAAAACGATAATGATTATTGTCAATCACATGTTGAAGAATGATGAAACTCACTCGTTTTAATTGATTTATGTTTCATAATTGTTTTTGAATAAATAAACAAAATGTATAATCATCTTGTATATGGATAATACACAGAGTGTCTGTGTATTTGTCAGTGATTGGTCAAATCCTGAGACCATCGGCCTTAGTTTAATTTTGCAGATTTAACAAAGGCAAAAACAATGTTGCTATTACAGCTGCAGAGCATATAAACAAGTATTTATAATCGCCTGTCCCCTGATTGATAAAATCATATTACACAACAGCTGTTGATGGCTAGCATGAGCAGTGTGTGTGCGTGTGCTTGTGTGTATGAGCGTGTGTGTGCATAAGCAGTGTGTATGTGTGTGCTTGTGTGTATGTGTGTGTATGAGCAGTGTGTGTGTGTGTGTGCTTGTGCGTGTGTGTATGTGTGTGTGTGTATGAGCAGTGTGTGTGCATAAGCAGTGTGTGTGAGTGTGTGTGCATGAGCAGTGTGTGTGTGTGTATGTGTGTGTGTGAGCGTGTGTGTGCATAAGCAGTGTGTGTGAGTGTGTGTGTGCAGTGTGTGTGTGTGTATGTGTGTGTATGAGCGTGTGTGTGCATAAGCAGTGTGTGTGAGTGTGTGTATGTGTATGTGTGTGCATGAGCAGTGTGTGTGTGTGCTTGTGTGTGTGTGTATGTGTGTGTATGAGCGTGTGTGTGAGTGTGTGTACATGAGCAGTGTGTGTGAGTGTGTGTATGTGTGTGCATAAGCAGTGTGTGTGCTTGTGTGTATGTGTATGTGTGTGCATGAGCAGTGTGTGTGTGTGTGTGCGTGTGTGTATGTGTGTGTATGAGCGTGTGTGTGCATAAGCAGTGTGTGTATGTGTGTGTATGAGCGTGGGTGTGCATAAGCAGTGTGTGTGAGTGTGTGTATGTGTATGTGTGTGCATGAGCAGTGTGTGTGTGTGCTTGTGTGTGTGTGTATGTGTGTGCATAAGCAGTGTGTGTGAGTGTGTGTACATGAGCGTACCCAAACACTTGTTTGAACACCAGCTTGTGCAGAGTGCAGCCTGATCACTGGTATTAAGGCGTTACCTGCTGTCTCTTTGTTGAAGCCAGTGGAGTTCACGATGATGTCAGTCTTTTCATGGATGATGTCACCCTGAACTATCTGCAGCTTCACATTCCCCATCAGTGCAGAGACCTCCGAGACGCTGGACGACACGTGGCAATAGAAAGAAGCTGAGAGATGAAGGAAATCAAATGTTATGTTTTCATCACAGCTGTAAATGATTATTCCTGTTGCTGACCGTGGCTTGGATTGGCGTAGTTAGTGAATCCTTTTAGGTGCACAGTTTGTTGAGCAATTTGAAATGCCTGTGAGGACAAATAGTTTCAAGATTATTCAGTAGGAAAAATAATGAGTTGGACTGTTAACAAGTGAAAGTGGTAAACAAAAAGAAACTGGTAAAAACCGTTCTCAGTTTTGGCTAATACATTTGAGCAGGACTCCAGAGAGAGAGCTAAAAACAGCTGTTGAGGGCATAGATGGGAAAGACAAAAACATCGTGAATACTGTGGACTCTGATCTTAAGGTCAGACAAACCTCTGTCATGTGAATGTTGTTTGGACTAGTTTAATATCTCTGCGATGGTGTCTTTGAAATGTCGTACGCTGTCATGTTGAAAAGCCCTGGAATCTCGTACACTGCCAAGTCCAATTGTGCTCTGCTTTAGCTAATGCTGCCCCAGTCTAATGTTAGCCTCATTCTAATGCAAAAGTTAAAAACAGGTTTAGAAAATCATTTAACAAGATTTTAACTTTTACTCGATGAAAAGTAGAAGTAAAAATGTAGGTTTGTAGATTTGAAGTCAGTGTAGATTATTGTATGATTGATTATCGAGTGTCTTTGTATCTGGTTTTATTCATAAACCTTGCTGGCGTCTTTATCGTCTGGGTGAATGACGATGCGTATCAGAAAAGGCGTCTTGGGGGCTCGTCTCTTCTCGAACGTGTGGATCTCCTGCAGAAGAACCAGAGCGGCCGTGTGGAGAGGGAACTGAAGCATGGCCCCTGGACCCAGGACGGGGAGGGCCACCGAGCTGAAGCCTCGCTCCTCACAGCGGCGCAGAGCACTGTCGATGCTGTCCCTCAGAACCTGTGCAGATACAGCAAACATGAACAAACAATTAATACTTTGTAGAGCGGTACACACTGCAAAAAGTGTGATCAAATATATCTTGTTTTAAAAAGATACAAGAAATGTCTCCGTTGGAATGAGAAAATACAGCAACACTTTGTGGAATAAGACCAAATGGCTTGTCCCATTGGCAAATCTTGTTTTAAGACAGAATGTTCTCAAATTAAGACAAAATCCACTTAATTCAAGAATGATTACCTCATATTTTATCATTATTTGCAGTGCAGTGTTGAACACATTTGGGAATTGGAGTGCACCTTTAACACAGTCTGAAACATAACTATTGGCCAAGCATACATTTTTTGTAGTATTTTCAAAAGCTCTGATGACTTTTATTACTATTATTTATGGGTTAAGGTTAGTTGGCTGTTTTGCAATAGAAATAGAAATGTCTAACTTGAAATGATACACAATTATAATGTGCTTGATTGAACATACTCTAATATATTTTGTTATGTAGAGCGCAAATTAGTTCAATAATGGCAGCCATTGTGATTTCCATATCACTACTAGTCAAATAGTGATTTCATGTTGATAGTATATAATCTTCCAGGCCTTGATTAACTTGAATTAGCGTTGAGACTTCAGTATTAAATGCTTTCAGATGACTTCAAAAGGAAACCAAAAACCATATGAGCTCAGACAGATTTCACACGGAGCAGGGGGTAGTAGGACAGTGGCAAAGTATCCTGTTAATGGAGGAGGAAGCTTAGTCCATTGTGTTTGTTGTTGGAATAATGTTGATCTTCCACCTGTTTTGCTCGCTCTTGCTGTCTGCTGCTATAGTTGACGAGGTGGAGGAAGATGACGGCGTTGGTGAGCACCGGAAGCCCATCCACCAGCACGGTATCTGCGGGCCGCGGGGCACCTCCCGCCTGCTTAAACCTGATCTCCAGAGCGGCTCCAGCCACTGACTGCAGAGCTCTGCCCACACGCAGAGAGGAGGGCTGGGCCCCGAGCATGGGACAGACCACACAGTCCACCTGGGAAACACACAGGACTGGAACCATTCTTGACTTCAAGAGTTTGTAGGGATTCACTAGTTTCATAATATTTAATCATCGAGATGACGCACCACAGTTTACTGTACGCCTTCATCAGTGAACGTCCACCTTACTAACTTAGTGGTTTGTTTGTTTTGGAAGAGAATATGTAACACCCAGATGATTTGCAGAGTAATGCAGGCATTTAAGCTCCAATGATCAAATATAGAAATACAAATCTGAGTCATGTCACCATGATTTGCAATCAGATTTAATGGTATGAATAAAAATGACAGCAATAAACTAACGGTTAATTCATGTTTTGATAAAAAGCCAATACAGACAACAACCAGATACAATAAATAATCAACAGTAAAACTATTTTTAGAACAATAATAATCTTTCAAATAATTTACACTCAGGAGTAACCCCCTCATAAACTGTGTTAAACCTCTGGTATACAAAGGGGTTTACGGCATTTGCACAGAGATTCAGCCAAACATGCGCTATATGCCCCGCGCACAACCCAGGTAAGTCCCAAAAGTATCCAACAGGCTGCTCATCCTCCGCCCCTGCGCCCATTTCAACATGTCCAAAGGGACTTTGTTGAACTCACACCATGCCAAGGTAAGTAATACTGTCTGGGTCTGGCGGATCTCTGGTCCAAATGGACTGAAGTATTTGCAGGCATACACGCCACGAGCAACGCGGTGGTGAGTCACTTTGTAGCAAAAGTCATTGAGGAAGTGGGTGAATTTCTGGGCATTGATATACGTAAACACTGCAGTTACGCCCCCTGGTCCGGAGGCACGTGCGAGCGAGAGAATGGCACTCAAAGCTCTGCCGCTAGCCCCACGTTGGGCGCGGGACCCCCGAACAGAGATCTGCCAAGCACCTCTTTGTGTGATGACGACATGCTGTCCTATTGTAAGGAAATTAATGCACTTTTGTCCTCTATTTCTGCCCAGGTCAGGAGCGCCCTGCCACAGGCTGCGCAGGCGACTGGGTCCTGATGAAGGAAACGAGACGAAAGCATTGGCGGTCCAAGCGCTGGCTCGGCCCATTCCTCGCCCTCCTGGTGACGGACACTGCCGTTAAGGTCGCGGAGAGGACAACTTGGATCCACGCCAACCACTGTCGTGCGGTGCTGCCACTGAGGGCCATAGACAAGGACACCGAGGGCGCGGACGGACCAGGCCCATCCGCGGCTCCCTACGCTGAATAGGTCTGCCGGCGTGCGACCACCATCGGTGAAGCAGGCCAACAACAACACCCAGAGATTCCCAGCGTTCCCGAGGCGACCCCCCTTTGCCCAACTCCCCAGCCCCCGGACCCCAAGGCCTGGGAGCCATGAAGGCCCTGAGCGCTCTGCTCAGCCGCAGCAAGTATGCAGAGCTGCTGCTCATTCCAAAGATTTCTCCAGAGCCTGCTCCCTCTGGCCATAATGCAGATTGGAGCTCTGCTGGAGTGCCCCCTGGTGTCTCGTCTCCCGTGTGTCCGGAGGAGGTGGAGATGAGGGCTGCTCTACAGTTCCTGATGAGGCACATGGTGAAGCGTGCTGTCATGAGGTCTCCCATCAAACGAGCTTTGGGCCTGGCCGATCTGGAGCGTGCTCAAGCCATGGTCGCCACACCCCAAACCCCGAGCACTCTGCCCAACCGAGTGCTGAGGCCAAGGCTTCAACGCAAATAGAGTCTTGCCGCTCCAAGACCAAACATCGCCATGACCACTAACGCTCCACACACGCTCATAGGGAGCGGTGCCACTGACTGCGAGACGGCACTGCTCGTGAGTATTCCCGCGGAAAAGACTACCGAACGTAGACCGGCATGGGCCCTTGGACTGTTATGCTGGCCACACTGACACTACTTTCCGTGCTGACCGTGTTTATTATGTTAATATTGCCTTCTCTTATCGCTGTCCGGATCCATTGTGTTATTATAATGTGCTCTTTCTTTTATTGACAAGCATGTGTCTTTTCCTGTCCACTTTGGACAGCAATAATTTAAGTGTTTCAAGCTTGAAGGTGGTGTGATTACGATGCCTCTGGTATTTAACTGATTAATGCAAAAATGGTTTTGAATTATCAGAAGAGGGGAGTGTGGTGACAGTTTTTGGAGTAATTACATTAAAACCAGCCGCAGCAAATACACGGACGTCAAAGGCCTTTTATCAATGCAGACAACCTTCTGACGCCATGCTGAGCTTTGTGAAGGTCCCTGCTGTCTGTCACACCCTTGTGTCTTTCCGTCTTGCATCTGTATGACCTGCACTTCCACCATTGTCTGTCTGTTCACACCCCATGCCACTGCCACCACAGGGGATGGCGCCGGCGCTTCCTGTGCGCCTCCTCACCGGTGGCCCCCTCCGCTCCGTTGTGGGCGTGACTATCTTTGGTGTGTGTCTTGTATACAGGAAGCTGGGGGCTCTGGCCCCCAGAGCTGAGCATGCTGCCTTTGTGTGGATATGCTGACTCTCCGCACTGTGCGTTAACAATAAACTTACGCTTTTGATCAGACAAAGGACCTTTGAGTTTCCTCCTTCATGGGGTATATAATTCTATAACAGTAGTTCCTAAACATTGTTGTTACCTAGTAACGTTATGTTTCATGTTGCACGATTGAACTGAAAAAAAATATTGTGTGTAAACCTGTTCACTAACAATGGCAATTGCTAGTGATGTTATAAAATATAACAAAAAACTAATGTTCTTCTGCACAACTATTTGTTACACTGATTTAAGGTCTACGTGATGTAGAAGACAAATGCTATACTTTGTAAATTGACTGTAATAAGTATTTTTGCTAACGTCATGTTTTGTGGATTAGAACTTGCCTTCCAACTCACAAATGGACCAAGGAACAGCAGTGAATGTGATGGAAACTACTAGTTACATGTAATGTTTCTCACTCTTCAAATCACAAATCTTATTAATTTGAAAATATTAATTTTCATGTTAATTTCTCAGAAAATACACTGAGTTGTATTCACCCATTGTGATTGATGATCAAGAGGATAAAGAAGTTAAAGGTGTGGACAGTTCCAATAAAAGCCATGATACTCCAAAAGCATCAGAGTAAGAAACAACTCACCCTCTCAAGAACTGTGGGTTTTGTTGTGTTTAGATGCATCTGCTATCACTTACATTATGTTTATGATTGACATATCCTGTTGTTTTTTAGGGTGGAACAGCTGTCTGCTTCAGATATAATACAACATCTGACACTCCGGATCGACCATAAACATGTCAACAGATTTAACATCTGTCGCTCTGACATCTGGGATGGAGCTGTTAGGGGACTCAAGGGGATCCAGTTTTGTGTCATCTATAGGAGACATTACAGATGAAGATATAGGGAAAGTGCTACGAGAGGTATGAGACTATGCAGTAGGTGGAAGGAAAGGTTTTGTACATGTTACACTTTTGTTTAGTGTAGGTTAAATGAAAGGGTAGGAGGCATTCAACTGCGATCTGCATAATACAATTAACAATATATATATCTTTAAATGTTTTAGATTCTAAATGCACCGTCCCTGGAGAATCTGCGAGACCTGCTGGCAGAGAACAGTGCTGTGTTGCAAACTGCAGGATATTTCAGACATGTCAAGGCACTGGAGGAAAAAGACAAAATTGTGAAGGACTACATGTGGTGGTACATCATCGACAGGAACCATGTTTCAATTGAAAGGTATTTTATCATAGGCTATAGTTAGACTATTGTCTTATCTCTGCATTCTAGCAAATAAACGGTATACATAAAACTGTTAGTCATCTTTAGATCTAACTTGAAAACCTAACCTAAAATCTACTTGAAATGACTGGAATTTGAAGAACTATTTGTTGAAATGGGGGCTAGAATAAATATCACCTAAAATAATGGAAAGATCAAAGTGAAAAGGCACCTAACCATGCTAGGGGGTTAACCACATTATCATGCTGCTGTTGTATTTTAGATTTAAAGCCGGGCTCGCCAGTTTGCAGTTTTTGACAGCTCTACAGCAGCATCCCACGATTCTGACCCATGTCAGAGCCCAGATGGAAGCAACAGGAAGGTCCTGGAGAATCAAACAATGAGCTACTGGGCAGACTACCTACTTGATTGTGAAGGTTTATATAATTTTATTTACAAAGTCTGATCAGTACTGCTGTATGTTTTCATTCAGTTGATTTTTTTATACCTGTTAATTTTAGAAGACAGTTCGGTGTCTCTTGAGGAGCTCTTCATGTTTGCCACAGGTGTACCATGCGTGCCTCCAGCAGGAATTGATCTAACTCCACGCCTCGAGTTTCTCACCAGTTCAAAATTTCCAATGGCAAATACATGTTCCAATACTTTAAAGCTGCCTCTGCTGCATTGCTACAGTGCCTTTAAAACCAACATGAATTTTGGGATAAAGAATTCCCCTGGATTTGGATGTCATTAATTTGCCATAAGATTGTCGTATCTCACTAGGCTGTGCTGTGCTCAATCAGTACTGTTGGCCACTTAAAACAAACTTACAAAGCCAGACAACGGGCAAGTTGCACTGTTTTACATTGTTACTGCATTAACGGCAATGGCCACATGTTCAGGCGAGTGTTTCCAAACATTTCATTGTCATTGAAACTACCTTTTATTTGTTGGCCGCAACTAGCACTATGCGTTGTTATAGTTATCAGCACTTAAGAAGTTGGGCAGGCAACTTTTGATCTTTTTTTTTACTCGTATTAAAAGGCCAACGTGTTAATTTTAACTTGGTGTGTTTTTTGTATGACAAATACAGCTGTAGTGTGTTTTGTAATTTTATTGAAATTTACATCAAAACCTGAACCCGTCAGCTCATTACAAATTAACAGAGTGTTCCACCTCCATTCCACAAACTGTATGCACAACACCCCTCTCCCCTCGTCCCATCAACAAAAGCTTATCAGAAAATAACTCTACAGTTAACATTTAAGTTTTAATCCTCCATCCTTTAACTTCCAAAATGGTTCCTTGGATAGTAGAAGTGGTTTTACAAACCAGCCAAGTCCTTCAGAATGATGTAGTTCTCTACAGCACATTCCCACTGCAGAGGAGTCGTCAGACCTCTCTGTTGTTGCATTTCGTCAAAAACAGGTTGCAGTTCATCTCTGGGAGTTGCTAGTGGGGGAAGTAGGCTGTGTAAGTGGTCAAGCATTTGTGAAGATGTTAGGAATCCACAGTTCCTCCCATGAAACCTAGGAGCAGGAACAGAATAAGCAAGCATCCAATCGAAGCTTTGATTTAATATTTTAGTTTTTGTTTTATGGTAATTCTACCACTTTGTTTTAATGAATTCCATGCTTACATTTGAACAAAGAAAACAGTGACTAATAGGATTGCTGTCATACATTATAGGAACATTTTACAATGACATTGATACTGTAGTGTTCTATCATGAATTCACTGTGTTTTATGGAGACATATTTAAAATAATTTTTCCCAGCTTAAATATGATCATGTCATTCTCACCTTTGAGGCACATGATACATTGCCTCTGGTTTACAAGATGGACATCTGGACTGGCGAACAGGACGGATAGTGTGAGTGTTCCAGAGCCGCCTGTAGTCATCCAGCTCTTTTTGCAGGAGATCCAAAAAGCAGTATCGCACTAAAGACATATGCTCCTGACACCCATTGAAGAGATGCTTCTCCCTCAAATCACCAAAGAAGTCTATCCAAAACTGACTCCTAGAGAGATAAAACACATTTTACTGTAATGCTGTACCGAAACAGTAAATCAAGCTGTCAAGTAAATTATAAAAAGGATAAAAACCTTTGTTTACGAAAGATGGACCACCAGCTTTCAATGCGCTGGTTTGATGTTGACGCACCATACATGTGACTTTTGGACCCTGAAAATTCATCTGTGTGCTCCGACCTCAAGAAGCAGTGAAGTGCTGCCATTATTCCATTTTCTGTGCCACAGTCTGTACGAAGGCGCTTTGGACAAACTCCAAACTCAGTGACACAGTTGATGTAATTTCGAGCAATGACTGATGGATCTTTGTTGGACTTTGCACATTTGAGCCACATGATTTTTCTAGAAAATCCATCAATACAGCCGCTAATGGCAATTCCAAATGGTTTCAGTTTATCATACCCATCTACATGCCAGGTGTCATTTGGTCCCCCAGAACAATATGCTCTCCGAACAAATCTGTGACGTGAGCGATTTTCTGTTCCTGCTGGATCCAGGCTTTTCATTAAACGCATTACATCATCTCTTCTGACCACAATAGAGTGCTTCTGTTTGAGAGTCTGCCACATTGCCCGATAGCCTAAGAGATGACCTACTCACTTCTGCTCTTCAGCAATGGCTGCCTGAACTATAGCCATTGGAGTGTAGTTGGTCCTCCTAGTCAAACCTGCATCACGTAGTCTTCTCTTTAAAGTGCTATTGTATTAGTATTAGATAGCAATATGGCCTACGTGCAGGACTCTACAAGGACTCTACAAGGACTCCATGTTATGACTATGATGTGACTGTCTCTTTGTGACACGTATGCCTTTCGATGTGTGACGTGACAATGACTATATAAAGTGTGTACTGCCTTTATTCTGTCTGAGAGAAAGAAACAGAGGAAACCAGTGGAACTTGAGAGAAACTTAAATAAACTTCCAGAGTTTGGCACACCACGATCCGTCTCTGTCTGCTAAATCCTAACAGATTTGGTGGAGAATGCGCGGCTCGGTTTGTGCCATTCTCTGGATTGTTTTGAGGGAGTTTTCTCTGTTTCTTTTTTTCGGCGTGTGGGAGCAACAGCACGTTATCTGGAAGGGGAGAAATCCCAGTGGACGCTGAAAGGGCTCGCTTTTGGATGGGCTTGCTCTTGCTCCCTCACTTTCTCTGTTTTGTTTTTTAAATTGAATATTCCGACGCGGAAAAGAGGTTGGCAGACCTCTCGGACAGTCCTTGGATCCTGTTTGACAAGAATAAGGTAAGCAGACACCTTTTTATATGTAAAGTCTGCATAATTGGATACTAGCTAAATTTTGGTCTGTTTTTGAGGTCTGTCGAACTCTCTAAATTGTGTTCAAATAAGTGAGGATCCATAAAGTGAAAAGTGTTGGCCATTAAAGTGAATAGGATCCATAAAGTGAATAGGATCCATAAAGTGAAAAGTGTTGGCCATTAAAGTGAGGATCCATAAAGTGAAAAGTGTTGGCCATTAAAGTGAGGATCCATAAAGTGAAAAGTGTTGGCCATTAAAGTGAATAGGATCCATAAAGTGAAAAGTGTTGGCCATTAAAGTGAATAGGATCCATAAAGTGAAAAGTGTTGGCCATTAAAGTGAATAGGATCCATAAAGTGAAAAGTGTTGGCCATTAAAGTGAATAGGATCCATAAAGTGAAAAGGCCATAAGTGTTGGATCCAAAAGTGAAACCATGGTGTAATAATAAAAGCAATAAAAAGGGAAACGTGTTAAGGAGGCCTTTGTTACAAAAGCGTTGAAATTGACGAATTTCAGGCTGATAAATGACAAAAGTAAAGAATCAACAATATTTCAGTGATAACGGTTTAAATTACATACAGAAAAAGGGAGTTTTTGTTTTTTGGAGTGAACAGAGTTCACCGGAGAATACAGAGTTTTATCTAAAGTTGAGCTATGAGAGCTTTCGTGAGTTATTTACATTTTTTTGCCGAGTTTTATCTACAGTTAAGCTATGAGAGGGTTGTATCCAACAGTTGTTTTTGTTTTTTAGAAAGAGATTTTGAGTTTAAATTAGTTTGCTACCTCAATAAAATAGAAGCGTAAACGTTAAACACTAAAGAGTGCCTTTTGTTACTAGTGTGGAAAGTGATCAATTCTAGACTTGGATGACAAAAGTATAAACTACAACATCAGTTATATTTGCTTAAAAAATTTATCTTGAAAGTTCTTCTTCTGTGTCTTTCTGCCTGTGTGTGCGCGTCTGTGTGAAAGGAACCCCCCCGCCCTCGCTGCTGCTGAGCTGCTGCTCTGATTTAAAGGGGAGCTACTGCTTTAGGATTTTTGGCTTTTCATAGTTGTTATTCCGTTAAATTTGCGAAATTTGCCATTTGAACATTGTGTTAGACACAGTTAAACGTTTTTAAACACCATTAGTGAATAAGTTTTGAATTAGTATGTTTTTGAAACCCAAAGATTAGTGCTAAAAGCTGTGCAATTCTTTTTAGACCTAACATATTTCTAGATTCCATTCTTTTAAATCTGCTGCTTATTTCTTAACTTTTTGTGAGTTGTGTTTGTTTTTATGTTTTTATTTTAATTACAAAAGCCGTTTTTCAAAACATTTAAATTAGAATCCGTGTTAAAAGTGATTATTGATTATAGACTTCGTCTAAAAAGAAAGAGAGAATTAGGCTGTAAAAGTATTATATTATTAAGTTAAACTACCCAATTCACATTCAAGCGGTGACTTTTGTTTTTGTTTTGACTACACGCGTGACCTTGCTGCTGCTCAGAGACATGAGGAGGCAGCTCCGACGCACAATTGAGTTTTATTGAACCAAATCCAGTTTAGCTGGAGCTAAATCTCTTGTTTGATTTCAAGTTTTGTTTTAAATGTTTTTACAAATTAATGTTCATTTTTATAGAGATTTTTCATAATTTCATTTCATGGCGTCTTTCAAGAAACCCAAGGACGCATAGATAATTAATCACACAGTACAAAAGTACACATATTTTAAAGTTAAGGTTTTAAGAGATTTGAGTCTTGTTTTTTTATATTGAGAGTTTCTGGTTTTAAAATGTCATCATTAGTAAGATAATAAGTAATCTCAAAATTGTTTTGACTTTAGGGAGCAAAACAATCTCATTCACATACTGATACTGTATCTGTTGTTTTTAAATTGGCCGTGTCAAGGATTGTTTTTCAGACTCTGCCTCACTGTACGAGAGGTCACTGCTGGACACTGGACAGCAAAGCCCACCCAGCCACAGGTCACAGATCAAAGAGCAAAGGGAAATGCCACCTCCTTGCCCCTCCCCACGCCACTCCAGAGCTGAGTGGGTGTGAGTGAGACCGGGGCCATGAAAGAGAGGTATCTGGAGACGTGATGGGTGGAGCGTCAGGGAGAGACCTGAATGAGAGTTGAGAGTGTGTCCAGTTGGTTTACATCACCACAGTGTGACCTTTGACACCTGCAGGTGGTTCGAGGAGTCTGGAGACACAACCCCAAAATTGACACCCTACATACACACACACACACACACATACACACATTCATACACTCACACATTTACACATAGATACATGAAAAAGCAGAACATGAGAAAAAGCATTTTAAAAGTTTACTCCAATGTAAACACACATTTTTAATTGTCTATCACTTGAATCTTTAGTTGAATCAGTATTTTTTGAGACCAGAAATGTTCATTTGAATTCTATATTGTCATGGACATAATTGACGTCTGTCCTGACACTTTTGATTTGTTGATTTTGTACTGTGTGAAGTAATTACATTGATGAGAATTAGATCTGATAAAAACACAAATTAGAGAAGTAAACTGCGCTTGCTTTTGTCTGAGGGACATTAGCAACAGCATGAATAGAAATTGTGTTAAAGTAGAATCAAAGTGATTTAACCATAGAAAGTAACTATTGCATAACAAGCTGTGTACAGGAACTGTTAGACTGCACCATTGACCAGAAGTGCATCGCAAATGACCTGATGTGCTTCAACTGAAAAGACTGTATCTGGAGATCCGATGTCCATCTGGAGTGACCAGAACCATGGCTTGGACCCTACTGATGTCCAAGATGACATCTCTCTATGACCTGACCTGATGACGACTGAGACTCACCCTCAGGGGACCCTGAGGACCCTGAGGATCTGAGGACCCTGAGGACCTGAGGACCTGAGAGAAAAAACTGGGGAGTGATGTTTATATTTTTGAAATCATACATTGATGAGTGCTAAATGAGAGAGATACTCATGATTCTTCTTTTGTTTTTGTTTGTCCCTAGCTTCTGGACATCTGATGATCTATTGGACACAGCCATTTGCAGAACAAGAACCAGCCAATGAAAAACGTCTATTGCCGATGCTATTGCTACAACTAGAACCTGTGACCAAATGCAATATACATGTTAAGTATTCAGACATCTGACAGACAAAACTTTGACTTTTTTAGTCTGGGAGACTGAGCAACTGTTAAAACTTTGAAAATGATAAAGTATGAGTATTGTAGTGTTTTAGTAGATGTTAAATAGTAGTAAAAAAGTAGAATTGTCCTTCCTTTGTTTTTCATAAACACATTTCCACGTAAGAGTTAAAATAGTACCATACAATGTTATCCTTTTGATAGATCAGCTATAATATTAGAATCAGAGTTATGTTACAGCCATTAAAAGTGACAGAAGTCACAAATTAGGAATATGCCTTTGCTCAAACTGCAGCCAAACTTTGGAGTCACAATAGTGTAAAAATAGAGATAGATAAATGCATCAACCATAGATGCTTTCAAAAATAGAGAATATTTCTAGCCAGTGCTAATATAAAATGGTAAAGGGACCATTTCACAAACATTTACTTCAGAAGTAAATCAAGTTAATTACAGTTTTATGTACAGTTTTATTAGATACTTGCCAAATTCACTTGTGTTCACACATGAGTGAATGTTGACAATACAAAAAGTTCATGAAAGTAGCTTAGATCAATGAGATAGATTAGAACCAACAGAGATTCAAAAGCATTTTGATGCATTTGGGTACAGCCCACTGTCGATTCATCAGCACAGATTAGAATCAAACACCATTGTAGAATAACTGACCCAAACCTGCTAAAATAGATTAGCTCTTGTAAGGATAATACTAATTTGATTAATGATGTACATTCATCCCAAATGCCTGA